CACCCAGCCCTGTCATGCTCCCCCCATCACCCAGCCCTGTCATGCTCCCCCCATCACCCAGCCCTGTCACCGCCCCCAATGCAGGTCAGAGCGCAGGACAGGGTTTCTGATCCGAAGGTCAAACAAACGTAGACCACAGTGTCCAGGGGTAGGCCGCTGAGGTGAGGCCAGGGGGAGGTGCTCTGCTGGCGGGTAAGTGATCCGGTGATCCTGGCCACTGAGCTCAGCCCCCGGTTCCCACGCATGAAACCAGACAGAGCAGAGCCATCTGGGGGAGATGAGGGGTGCACAGCGCCAGCTTGACTGACGGGGAAACAGCCCCAGGAAGAGGAAATGGTGCTCCGGCAGCCAGGCAGAGCTTCTCGGAGCCTGCACCCCACCGAGCTGGCAGCTGCTGTGTTCGGCACCTCCCCCCCACCCGAGAGGCAGCCCTCTTGTCCTCTGTGAGCACTCCACACACTCCCAGGCTCTCACACTGGGGGTCTCGCCGCCCCCACAGCAGGGGCTGGGTGCAGGCAGGTCCCCGCCTGGCAGGTGAGGGCAGAGTGGGCACGTGGTCCCGGCCCGAGGGGTGGCCTCGCACGGATGCCTTTTTCTGTTCATCTCCTCTCCTCGACGCCAGCCCCTCCAGCTGTCTGCTCAGCTGGGCTCCTCCCTGATGTGGACATGGTGGCTGTCCAGGGCCACAGGACTGGACACTGCTCTTTCTACAGTGCGGGCTGTTTAAATGACTCTGGGGCACAGTCAGGGTCCTGCGCAGCGACTTCTCAGCTGAGGGGAGAGGCTGGTGCATTGCCTGGGCACAGGCCCCACCCTCCCTGTGGGTCCAAGGTGCAGGGTGGGTGGTCCTGGTGGCCTGAGGCCAGAGTCCCCACAGAAACTGTGCCCACCTCCCTCTGGACCGAATGCTTTTGGAAGGGCTGCCTCCAGCTCGGCACCCCTGGGCCCTATCACCCGCCACCCAGGTCTCCTCATGGCCCCTTGACCCCAGAGCCCCACAGTCCCCCCTCCCAGCTGTGCTCCCTGTCACTCTTCCCCACACGGCCACAGAGTGACCGCTGAGGTCAGGGAAAGCCACGGGAGAACCTCTGGGTCACCCAGCTGGAGGGACAGGCCTGGAAGGCCAAGTTGGTATCACCAGCAGCATGACCCATCCACAAGCTCCCACCCCCAGCACCCTGGAGGGCCTGAGCTTGTTCTCCTTAGGAAGTTTGTTCAGCATCGCAGGGCAGATGGTGCAGGAGGAGGGGAGGTGTCTTTGGCCTTCCATCCGTGGAGCCTGTGGGATAGCCCCTTGTCCCTCTGCTGTGTGCTGCTGAGGCCCTGCAGGGACAGGGAAGGTGCCCACACAGCCACCCGGCCGGCCCTGCAGAGCGGGCTGCACCAGCTGTGGGCCCAGGGTCCTAATGCCTTCACAGCCCCCATCCAGGAGTAGGCAGGGGGCCCCAGAGTGGGAAGGGCTCCAGAGGAGGCATCAGAAGGAAGACGGGCAGTCGGGATGGGGGAGGGGAGGATGGCATCTCCGGGGCTGGGCCCTGCAGGTCAGTGTCCCATCTATGAAGTGCCGAAGCCAGATTCTGAGGCCTCGGGTGGACCCCAGAGCAGGTGGCCCTTCCCACGGCCTCATGGCCACCTGCACAAGGCCCTGCAGCCCAGCCTGCCCAGGGGACAGGACAGTCACAAAAGCCACAAGCCAGCTTGTCCACAAAGGACCACCTGCCCTCTAGAGGAGGGCCAGCCAGTGGGGTCCAGTCACCAGCCCCTGCTGCTGTTCCCGAAGGGGGCCCAGCCGTGAGCCACGAAACCAGGTGTTGGGGCCTCCCGGGGATGCTGCCGGGGGTGGGGGAGCAGGGGGCATGCATCAGCCCTGCTTGCGACAGCACTGCCCAGGACGCGGAGTCAGCTGTGGGCACAGTGCCCGCCTGAGTCCCTGGAGCCCGAGGAGGGGGAGGGAAGGAACAGCTAATGAGTTCCAGGAGGTCAGCTGTGAGGGACCCACAAACCCATAAACCCTTTACTGGTGTCTCAGGAGGGGGAGCCCGGATGCGGCCGTTTATTGATTTTGGATTTCACTTTTCTCTTCTCTATAACATGCACTTCCAGGAGTGTAACTGGATTTTTAAAGAAACAGGACCTCCTCTTTCAGTGCAGGGGGACTCTTTTTCTCAACCCTGAAGAAGAAAGGAACCCTTATTTTTTGTAAAGTTCCAACCACTGACCCCATAACTAACTTTACCCACGCAAATTGTCCCCTCTGTCTCCGGGCCCGAAACCAGGCCTGCCCCAGCCCCGAAGCTAAGAGGGCAGGTTTGTGGGGTGCTGACTGTGTGCCCCGAGCCCCTGGTCTGCTGCCCAATCCTGGGCCAAGCCAGCACCCAACAGGGGGCAGTGGGGCCGACAAAGGACTGACCCGTCACTCCAGGACACAGCCCCAGCCAGCAGGACCCAGGGGGCCAGGCACAGCCGAGACTGGTGGCAGCCTGGTACGGAGAGCCAGGCCTGGATTCCAAGGCTGCCTCAGCCCCTGGCTGGCCCAATGGGCCTGTGACATCATGGCATCCCGTCCACCCAACCACCCATGAGGCACGCCGTAGGCTGTCTGGGGCTGCTGGAAGCAGGCTGCCTAGGGCCAGTGGACACTGTCCCCCTTCCAGGGCTGCTCTCTGTAAGAGAGAACTCTTAGATTCAATCCTTTCCTCTAGAGAGCCCATTCACAAGGGAACAAATGCTTCCTGCCAACTTCCCCATAGAAGATGTCTGTTTCCTGGGTAACCTTCCCTGATATTTAGGCTGCAGCTTCTCCCTCCGGACCTGTACCCATGGGGTGGGGAGTGGGTGACTAGGGAGGGGGCTCACTGGGGCAGCCTGCAGCCTGCGAGGAGGACGGACGGGGAGGGCGGAGCGGCGAGCGCGCCTGGCTCTCAGGGCCTGTGCGTGTGTGAGCTCAGCGGGTCCCGGGTGCCGCACCGAAGGCAGTGCCCAACGGTGCAGGGATCATGGCTCATGCGGCCTGAAGGATCACTGAGAAGGTTTTCGGGGTAGATCCTGGGAGGTCACCTTAAGAGATGTAGACAGTCCCCCATTGAGGACGCTGGTGGGGACCTCTGCTGGTCTGTAGCTGGATGGGGACTTGGCCCCATGCTCCTCCTGAAGCTGTCACTTTGGCTGCAGATGTCAGATAGACCTGGGTGAGGCCGGGGGTCCTGGCCCAGGGCAGTGCCCTTCCTGACCCTGCCAGCTCTTAGGGGAATTCAGAGTCCTTCCCAGAGGCACCGTCTGCTCCCAGAGGAGGGCTGGCCAGACCTCCTTCCCTGCCAGGAGACCACAGGTTCTGCCTCTCGGGCTCTCTGCAGACAGAGCAAGAGACACTGAAGAGGGAGGAGGCTGTGGCGAGGCTGGGGGCCGAGAAGGAGCAGCTGGCCCAGTCTCTGAACAGCCTGCACCAGGAGGTGGACGGAGCCCAGAGGCAGCATCAGCAGCTGCAGGTCAGCTGGGCCAGCGGGGCTCTGTGTACCTCAGCCCCAGGGCAGACCTGGGGTGGGACCCAGGAGAGTGTCAGATCCAGACAGTGGCTGGTGCATCTCTGTCTCATATGTGCACACGTGGGGAGGGTGGAGCTGGAACCAGGACCCAAGACTCCTGCCCTTCAGGAGACACTGAAGTCCCCGTGGAAGCCCAGGCTGGGCTCTGCAGAGCAGCGCAAGGGCCAGACGAAGGAGGAGAGAGGCCTCTGGGGCAGGGCTGGAGGCCGCCACCTGCTTGTGTTGGGGAGGAATCCCCTGAGGCCCAGGGGCCTGACACCCACAGAAGGGGCCTCAGGGGCTCCATTCTCCCTCTCCACACTGGATACACCCCCATCCTCAGAAACCAGCAGGGAAGGGGGCAGGATGGGCAGGAATCAAACTCCAGTGCCCTCAGGACACCCAGCCCAGCCAAAGGGAACCTGGGATACCACGAAAACAGATTTTAAGCCCATCCTGGAGGCTGCGGCTTGGTCTCCAGCCGAGCCAAAGGCAAACTCAAGGCTCCGTTGGCTAAATGTGTGCCCCCAACCCCACGTCTGCTGGGCAGTCTTGGCCAAGGCCAGCACCTGGCAGAGGCCAGTGGGGCTGACAAGGGCAGGTGGAACACCCCGGGCACTCCTGCCCTGGGATTCTGTGTGGCCCTCGGTGAGAGACAGCAGTGAGACGCCTGAGTTCTCACTCTAGGCCCAGATGGCAGAGCTGGAGGAGGTGCACACCCTGCGGCTCCGGGAGCTGGCTGTCCAGCGCCAGCGGGACCTGGCAGCAGAGGCACAGCGTCTGCCTGGGGCCCTGGAGGCCCAAGGACGGACCCACCAGCAGCGGGTGGAGGTGCTGGAGGAGCAGGTAAAGTCGGGACCCCAGCCCCCTGGATTAGGGCAGAGGGAGGGGAGGGGAGGGGAGGACTGGCATCCCAGTAGGGGCGACTGCTTGAATATTCTAGCAACAGGGACTCTCCGCTGCCACTCAGTGGGCTCCAGGCCCGCTCTGGGCACTGCCCACACTTCTGTGCTCTTCAGGGCACGAGGTTTATCCCACACCTCACTGGGAGGTGGAGCATGGATTCTGGGGCAGGTCACCACCGTCTCCCAGCCTCCACCGCCCTGTCTATAAAGTGGGGTGGGGAGGACAGCTCCTGCCAGGGCTCACTGGGAGACGGAGGGGCTTCAACAGCACCCAGCATGCACGGCTGTAGCAGAGGCGGCCCTGCACCCGTCCTTCAGAGTCACGAAGGAAAGAGTGTGGCACGCATGGTGCGTGGGGATGAGGTGGGCGCAATGAGTGGGTAATGGAAGCATGGCCAGCGTGGGTGTGTACTGCCCTGCATGCCCACACGTGTACGCACCCATGACAGACCTGCGGGCTGAACCGCGGAGCCTTGGAGCTCAGAGCGGTCAGGATCTCAGAGGCGTCTGCGCATTTCACAGATGAGGAAGCTGAGGCTGAGGCCCAGGAGGAGACGTGACTGCCCAGTGTCATCCCCAAGTTACTGTCCCTGACCACCAAGCACTTTTGCTAAATTTGTTAGCAAAAGAACATTTATTTCCTTATCATTCTGAGTGCTTGCTTGCTTTTTTTTTTGAGACCGAGTATTGCTCTGTTGCCCGGGCTGGAGTGCAGTGGCATGATCTCAGCTCACAGCAACCTCCACCTCCTGGGTTCAAGCGATTCTCCTGCCTCAGCCTCCAGAGTACCTGGGATTAATGGTGCCTGCCACCACACCTGGCTAGTTTTTTCGTGTGTGTATTTTGTGAAAGACGGGGTTTCACCATGTTGGCCAGACTGGTCTGGAGCTCCTGACCTCAGGAGTTTGGGAGCCCCGCCTCAGCCTCCCAACGTGCTGGGATTACAGGCGTGAGCCGGCACCCCGCCCCATTCTGAGTGCTTTCGTAGCCTGAATAGAAGGGAGCCCACCTGCCAGGGGTGCACAGTGGCGGTGATCCTGAGCCCTCCATGGGCGGGCAGCGTGGCCATCCGTGGTAAGAGGTGGGACTGCACATCCCTCTCTGGCAGCAACGGAGTCAGTCTGATGCCCGCCTGATGTTTGTGTCCCATGCGCCACCTCTCCTCGGGAGCTGTGGACTGTGGCCTCCAGCCCTTCCTGTCACAGAGCCGTCCACATCGCTGTGCCCTGGGGCCCCGGCCGTGCCGCCTGCCCTCTGACCCTGCCCTCTGACCGGAGCCACTGTCCTGTCCCCAGGTGGCCGGCCTGAAGGAGCAATTAGACCAGGAAGCGCAGTGGCAGCAAGAGGCACAGCTCGGCCAGGTCCTCCCGCCAGGGCAGTAAGCCCTCTGCAAACCATCCAGCAGCCGGCCGCCTCAGCCCTCACCAGCCAGGGGCCCTGGGGAAGTGCTGGAGGCCCCAGGCTGCGGGGGAACCACTGTGGGGAAAACCGATGCCTTGTGCTCTGCATAAGAGGGACAAAGCTCAAACGGGGTGGGCATGATGCCAGTGGAAAGCACAGCGTGCGGGCAGCCGCCACCCGGCAGCACTCACTCCCCAGGGGCCCCAGGCAGCCAGCCGCACACTCTGAGCCTACTGACCGCAGAGCTCCTCCGCCACCCTGCAGGTCACTCACCTCCAACATCCCCTTCCCCTCCGGCAGACAGCAGGGGCTTGGGTGCCCCCACAGCCCGCCCCCGCCTGGCATCCCCACAGCCCGCCCCCGCCTGGCACTCTGTTTCCACTTCAGGGCAGCTGGTCTGGCCAGACCCCCGGGCCAGGCCCTGTCAGGCCGGCTTCCCCGGCTTCATTCCGTGCCCTCAGCTCCATAAACACGGGAAAACACGTGGAAAACATTTCCACCAACCGAAGCCAAAAACAGAATGTCCTGCAAGGCCAGCCACCACAGCCCCACGCCCAGCGGCTGGAGCCTCCGCATCCAGGAACTCCGGCCGTCACGGTGGCAGGTGGCTGAAGTGACTCAGTGCAAGTCCCCGTGACTCACTGGCCGCCAGAAGCAGGGGAGTGTCACACTGAAGGCTGTTACAGAGCTTCCCGTGTTCCTGGCCTAGAAACGCTGGGTACCGTCCGGCGGCACTCCGGCCGAGCTGCCATCTTGGCCACGTGGCGTGGGCCACCTGCAGGCGTCTGCATGCCTCGCCTCCACCACCATTGCTCACAGTGGCCTGTTCTCCCCCCCAAAGCGCCTCATGCCTTACAGCTGCTCATCTGTGATATCCGCGGGGCACCAGCCAGCCGAGCGAATTCCTGCATGTGCACAGGGCCCATCCCAGCTGCAAGGACCTGGCCTAGGGGTGCAAGGCCAGAGGTTCCCAGCACCCACCCATGGCAGTCACTGTGAGCCCTGACCGAATGGGCAACAGTGTCTATTTCGAGATCACTCAGGGACTTGAGTGTGTCCTGGCACACCTGGCTTTCTGGTGGATTTAGTAATGGAGTTAACACATGCTGTGAATTGTGAAAACCAAGCGCTAAAGAGAGGTGGGCGGAGGGGCCCCTTCCTGCCTGTCACCTCTGCCTGAGGTCACAGCTGGTGGCTGTGTTGAGGGTTCTGAGGTTCAGCCTGGGCTATGGGGGAAGAGCTTGGTGACCCATGAGCAGCGGTTACTCCGGGAAAGGAAGAGTCGGAGGTGGCAGCGGTGCTCCGACAGGCACCCCTGGTGTGGCCAGTCAAGGGTGGAGGACAGCAGGCAGCCTGCCCTCACTGCTGGAGAGCGCTCTGCCAGATGGCAGGTGGAGGGTCACTGAGAGGCAGCATGTGGTGCCCAGGGCCTGGCACTCAGTAGGCATGTCCCCTCCGTCCCTCCCTCCCCATCCACAGTCTCCTCGCCTCATGGAGGGGGCCTCCCACTCCGCAGCCCAGCAGAAGGACCTGAGGGATGGCCAGGTGGGAGGGAGGACCGGAACCTCGAGGTTCTCATTGTGGGACAGGAGACTCAGCATTGGCCCCTCCCGCCCGGGCAGGGGGAGCCCCCGTGTGTCCCCAGGGCTGTGGTGGCCACGCCTCCCACTTTGCATCCCTGAGGCGCATTGCAGGTGGGAGGGTCCCAGGTGATTTCTGGGTGTCACCGTGAGTAGCCAGCTCGCTCTCCCACAGTTCCAGGACCCTCCTTGCCCTGGCTGCTCACAGGGAGCATTTGAAACGCACGTGGGGGCCTGAGAATTGTGAATCTTAACAAATACTTAAATCAGCATAGGAGATGCTACTTTTACTGCCTCAACGTGAAGGCATGTCTTTAGAAAAGAGGCTGTTTCTAGCGGAAATACGCTGTCATTGTCTTCAGTGTGTCCAGCACTGGTGTGTGGGCCCCTGTCCAGGTCTCACCGTCACTGAGAGCCGAGCGGGGGCTTGGAGGCCTCGCCCTGTGTTCTTGCAGCGGCGCTTTGAGCACCTGGCTTGCCGATGAGGAGGAAGCCGGGCCGTGGGGCGAGGCTGCATGAGGGCGACAGGAGGGGTCAGGCCCAGGGACCCCACAGCCTAGGCCAAGACTCCCCCTCCACTGGCCTCACCCCAGACCCATCTGCCCAGTGAGGGGCAGGCAGAGCTGTGTGAACCAGAGGACGTGTCCCAGATGCTGGGGTCCTCCTGCCCCTTCGTGGAGGCAAGGCCAAGGGAGGGGAGCTGGAGAGAGAAGGGGGCTGGACCCCTTCCCACGCCCACCCCAGAGTCGAGGGGAAAAGTCCGTGCATGGCCCGCAGCAGCCAGCCTCCAGCCCAGCCCAGCTGTGACCCCACCAGCTGTTTCCCGTCCATAAAGTGGGGTGGCCCCAGCCCGAGGGCCCTGGTGTGTCCTACATGAAGCATCGCCCAGGCTGAGGCCAGAGCACTCACCTAACGGTGGAGGCATGTCACCTGCAGGGCAGCTGCGGCCTGGTCCAGCGGGCCCAGGTTGCTCGAGGGAGCAGCCCCTGACACCAGGCTGGTAGAGGCGGCACAGATCGGCGGTGCTCCTAAGGGGAAGGTCTGCCTCTGGAGCCCATAGTGAGTCTGGGCGTCAGTGAGATCTCAGAGGTGGGGTGGACCCCCAGAGCCACCTCATGGAGCCGGAGCCACACATATGCCTGTGGCCTCGGAGGCCTCCACAGTCTGACTCTTCCTCTGCCTGCCCTCTCCGGTGGGCAGAGGGGATACATGTGCCCCAGGTTTCTGAAAGCCAGGAGACCCTCCCCCACACAAGGCGGGGATGCAGGCAGAGGCCCAGCTCCGGTCTGAGACAGAACACAAAATCCCTTCAGATTCCTGCCACCCCTGAGGCTCGCCGAGGAATGTGAGGCAGCGGGGGTGTTGGAGGGCCCCTCGGGCCTCTGGCCAGGAGGCTCTGACAGGCCCTCAGGTGCCCGGGGCGGGGGCAGCACCCTTTGCAGGCGTCCAAGGACGGCACTGCAGACTAACACCGGGAGGGGACAAATGGGAGATGAAGGTCCCGGGGGGGTGGGGACTGGGGGAGGGGCCATGGAACACAGATGGCGGCACCCACAAACAGGCCAGGCAGGGTGGGTGCAGGGCCCCAGGAGACGAACCCAGCCCTCTGGAGCACCCCAGGGTGAGGGAAGCACGCACTCCGGTTGGCCAAAGCCGGGGCAGGAAGTGGACCAGCTGGACCAGCGACATCGTTTATCTGCGCTTCCAAAACATTCATACTTTTCGAATTAATTGCAAAAAAAAAAAAAAAAAAATGCTAGCAGGGACACACAGAAAGGAGAATGTAACCACCCCCGTCATTCGCGACCTGCAGAACCTCTGCGGCGGCGCCGGTGCCTCCTTTCCCTGCACGCCTGAGCTCAGGACGGCTGCGGCCACAGCGTGCATGCTCCTTGGAGGACTATTTTTTAAAACTTTTGCTTGACACAATACCGTAAGAGTTTTCCCAAATCATTAAAAACAGCTCAGGGCATGGTTTTGTTACTTCGGAAGCTCCAGGCATCAGAGGACCCCAGGCCTGAGCACCCCTCCTTCCATGGCTTGCTGTCCCTGCTGTCCCAGAGCCCACAGGGAATGGGGCTTTGTCTCGGGCGCTCTGGACCACGCTGCCGATGGGAGGCGGGGTCTCGTCGCCCCCAGGACAGGGAGAGCCGAAGCCTGAGCCCACACAGCAGTGAGCATCCTGGGAAGGAAGTGTGAGCCCCGGTCCCCCTGTTTCCTGAAGAGCAACCGCAGAGGTCCCGTCGTGGGAGTCAAGGCATGTGCCGCTCCATGTGCACGAACAGAGGAGGTCCAGGGCCGCTCCACAGACCCCTCCTCAAGGTGCCAACTGCACCCAGACCCAACCAGCCACACAGGGCAGTGCCCGGGTGAGCAGCTGGGGCGGCCCTTGGCCCCTGTGAGCTCCTGGCCTCATTCCAGGGCACGCAGACGTCCATTTGGGGTCTGGGCTTCTGGGGCAGGGGACCTGCGTTCCACCTGCCACTTTTGGGAGAGAAGGAGAGAAAGTTAGGGGTGGGCTACAGCCAGCCAGCCCCTGCCCCTGGCAGCCCAATCCCCAGGATCTTCCGTCCTAACCCTGTGGGGACCCGACAACCAGGCCCAGCCGACCAGGTGCAGGCTGGAGAGGGCACCACCCCTCCTTGGCCTGCGTGGAGCCCCGAGTCCTGGGCCACCCCGAGGGCAGCTCCCAGGGCACCCCATCTAAATTGCACACACGCTCAGGCCCTAAATTAAAATGTCACAGGCCGGTTGGGGAGGCTCGGGTTTCCTGGCCACAGAACATGAGCCTGCTTGATAAAACAATTTTGGTTTTGATAAATGTGGATTTTCTGTGACAGAGACAAAGGCGCCCTTGAGTCCAGAGGGGAACCTAAAACAGCACATTGCTGAAAAGTATTTCCTGATAATATTTTTAGCACCTGAAAAAAACATTTTTTTCTTTTTTGCCTGCAGAGTAGTGCTGTTTTTTTAATGAAATGAATGCCCAGCAGCAGCGGGGCCTGTGTTAACCCCCAGCTCCCCAGGCCCGGCTGAACATCTGCGCAGGCACAGGCAGAGGCTGGTCAGCAGGCTACGTGCCCGAGGGAGTGTGGCCATGCACAGGGTCTGGCCCACTGCCAGCCGCTCTCCAGGCCACAAGCTCCGACCCTCTGGGATGAGGACAGGCCTGAGCATTTCCAAACGCTGCTCAGCGGACCCCCGTCAGGCCCAGCCGCCCACCCGCCTGGAGAAACGGGTCTCCCCTCGATGCAGCAACTGAGTGCCACAGTGTGCCCTGAGGTGCCCTGGGCAGCCCTGCCTCCAAGTTGACCCAAACCAAGTGCAGAAGTGGGTTGTTCCCCTGGCCCCTGTCTTGTGTGCTCAAGAGGAGGGCGCCTGCAGCCTAGGCAGCTGGCTGGGAGGGCAGAGCAGGAGCATGCGGTGGGAGGTGGATGGGGAGCAGGGACAAGGCAGGCGGAGGGCCAGCACCAGTGGGGGCAAAGCCTCACACGCCATGGCGATGCCTCTTCTGCGGAGAGATCCCGCCACCTCCCACCTTCGCAAACCCACAGGAGGGCTTCCCAGCCAGGCCCCAAAGGCACCGAATAGAGGCTGCCAGGTTTTTGTAGAGAAAAGGCAGATAAAAAAGTGTTCCTCCTGCTTCCCGCCTCGGTGACGCCTGGCCGCTCTGTTCCTGAGGCTGCTGCATGGGGCCTTGTCCTGACCCCATGGCCTGTGCCACGCCAGCAGGAGGCGGGAGCAGCCCTCCCAGCCCAGGAGGCCAGGGCTGGGCTGAGGAAGGGGTTAACGCATGTTCCTGAGGCCCCATGTGTACACGCCGCCTCCATGCGTGTGAATGAGGGTGCATCTGTGTGTGGAGACACGTCTCTCCTCCCAGGTTCTCACTCTCCGAGAGCCAGTCTCAAGTCAGGATTCTACAATTCCACGCCCTCTCTATTCCTCCCTCCAGAGACAGGAGGCCTTGACCGTCCTGACCCTGGAACCATGGCTGTGCTGCTGTCCTGGAACTCTGAGAGCTGGGACCATGACCCAAGGGCTAACTGCAGGACAGAGCCCTTCCCCTCCCCGGCTCAGTTCACCTCTCTGCAAGTAGAGCCGCCACCCTATGCAGGGTGGGAACGGCGCCAGGCACAAGTTCTCAGGGGCGTGCCAGCGCAGGGTCAGCCCTCCCTAAAAGTTCCGCACCTGGCCCTGCCACCAAGTCTAAAGGGTCATGAACCTCTGAGTGAAAACACCAAGTGCAGGGTCTGTGAGAACCAGCAACGCCCATCACAGGCAGAGAACCCTCCTATGCTTCTTAAAAATAACTGACTGCATCTGGGCCTCCCTGCAAAACAACACGTGCTCGCTTAAGACATTTCAGAAAATACAAACGCAAAGACAGACATGGAACCACCCAGAACCTCAGTGGTAGCGGCCGTTACCAGCAACCTGGCCTTTTCTGCTTGTTTTCGAGGGGTGCACTCTTGCCTTTGGAGGCCCCAGTGTGGCGCGCAGCCAGCATCACCCAACACCAGGATCTAAGACGGCACAGTGGGCTGGGTGGGCTGCAGGAACCAGACCCTGCTGTGGGCCTGGGGACACAGAGGTGGTCCCGACTGGGCGCCCCTGAGGAAGGACAGGTGGACACAGAGCGATGCCCCGGCCAGCGGCCTGAGAGGCCATGGGGAGGGCTGCGCAGGCCACAGGGTCAGGACCCTTAATTCAAATACTGGGACTCGGGGTGCTGTCCCTGCCTGCCAAGGCCAGTGTCATGGGCCCACCTGCCCCCAGGGCCTGAGTGGACCAGTCTTCCCCACGGAGGGTCCCCTTTAGCCAGGGGTCGACCCGAGGTCCCCAGTCTCCCAGGAATCTCTCCTGATGTGGCCACGGAGATGCAAACACTTAGTTCCCTGCCTCCAAGAATCTGGCCGGGCTCTTCCTGGCACAAACCCAGGCAGGGAGCGGGGTCCCTGGCAGCCTGCCCCTGTGGCCGGAAGCCTGGCGACCCCAGGCTCAGGGCTGGGAAGGGGGCAGCATGGCACAGGCCTGTGGCCACTCTGAGAAAGTTCATCCAGGCGCTGTCCGGCCACGGCGCCCCCCACCCCGCGAAGTCACGCCTTCGGGGCAGGCCCAGCCCCTCGGGCCTTGGGGGCACAGGGGACACGCATCTGTCCCGGGACGGCCCTCAGGTCCCCGGCGCCCCCTCCGGGCTGGGGACGGGGCGGAGCGTGGACGGGGCTCCCCGCGCGGCGCGCTCTCCCACGGGGCCTGGCGCTTTAAGAGCCGCCCGTTGCGCGCGGCCCCGCCCCGGACGAGTGACCGCCGGGCTGGATATTTAAATCGCGGCCCCAGGGGCGGGGCCGGCCCCGAACGCGCTCCCGCCGGCGCCTTCCACCGCGGAGCGGCAGCGAGAGCGCGGCCCGGCCGAGCGGGCGCAGAACGCGGAGCCCCCGACGGCGCGGCCACCCGGCCCCCGCCCCGCGCCCCCCGCGCCCCCCGCGCCCCCCGCGCCCCCCGCACCCCGCGCGCAGCCTCGGCCCCGGCGCCCCCTCCCCGCCCTCCCCGCCCCGTCCCGCGCTCACCCCGCGATGCGGCTCGGCGTCGTCTGGGCGCTGCTGGCGGCCGCGGCCCTGGGGCTCGGGGCGCGCGGGGTGCGCGGCGCGGTGGCGCTCGCCGACTTCTACCCGTTCGGCGCGGAGCGCGGCGACGCCGTCACCCCCAAGCAGGACGACGGCGGCTCGGGGCTGCGGCCGCTCTCGGGGCCCTTCCCGTTCTTCGGCGCGCGGCACTCCGGGCTCTTCGTGAGTATCCCGGGCTCGGGGCCGGGGGAGGGCGCTGCCCGCCGGGCCCGGACTCCGCCGCCAGCCGCTTGGCACCGGGCGCCGAGGTGGAATGAGGACAGCGGCCCGCGGGGAGGCGCGGGCGGGGCGGGGGCGAGCGGAGCGCGGCGCCCCGGGGCCGCCCAGACCCCCGAGCGCCCGTCCCGGCGCCGGACCTCAGGGCAGAGCAGGGGCCGCCAGCGCCCCGGTCTTCCGCGGGCACGGGCCTCCCGGGCCTCAGTTTCCCACGTGGGGCGCCGGGCCTGCGAAGGACCCCGGGGTCAGGCTTGTCCCTCGCTCCCCGCTCCCCGCAGTCCGGGGCGGGCTGCTCAGGCTCAGATCCTCCGAGCGGGACTCCCCGGGGGACTCCTGCAGCCAGGGACTGAGGAGCACCGGCTCGGCTCAGCTGAAGGACGGGGCCCGAGTGCGCTTCCGAGTGTGACCCTGGGCCAGGCCTTTGTGGCCGCCCGGGCAGTGAAATGCTGCACCTGGTGACTGCACGGAGCCCTCGCCGGGAGTGCGCTGGCACCTGGCGGTTCCCTGAAGCGCCCCAGATCATATCTAGAAAACTGCTGGGCCGGCTTCAAGTAGAGTCCCCTCCAGCCCCGTCACCGCTGCCACCTCCGCCATCAGCCCTCCCTCACTCTCACCCACCCCCAGCCTCAGCCCACCGCCAGCCACATGGCCTCTGCCATCCGTGCTGCAGAGTAACCCCACCTGCACTGCCAGCTCCACAGCAACACCACCTCCTGCAGCCCACCACCAGCAACGCTGCCATCCCTACGGTCCCCAGCTTCCCGTCGTCACTATCTGCATTCCGAGCATGGCTGTCATCGCCCCTACCCACCCCCATCCTCCAGGCCTCCTCCACCCCGCACCCTCCAATGCGCCTCCCACCCCACAGCCACCAACACCACCCACAGCACCCACTCGGCTTCCCCACCTGCTCAGGAAGGCTTCCCCACTTGGTGGCCGCTCTGGGCAACCTGATGCGGTGGGAGGAGCAGCCATGCTGTCACTGCTCCCCCCCAAAGTCCCTCTGGCCCAGGACTTGGGCAGAGGAGCGGGACTGCCTCCCAGAAGTATGAGGTGGGTGGGCACAGTGGTGCTTGGGGTTGGCCAGAGCTTTGGGAACGGGGCACTCACATTGGCGCCATCCTAACAGAGCTCAAAAGGCTCCCTAGGCATTTGGGCCAGGCTCAACTTTCCCACTGGGAGTCGCAGATGAAAATGTTATTAAAATGGTTAACCCACGGAGCAGCCTCACCAAAAACATCTACCCTTGCCAGAACCACCGGGGGAAAGCGCTCTAACGTGGGAAGATCTGCTAGGAAAACAAGGGTTTTGTCAGAAATGAACCTTCCGGCTGCTAACAAAACAAAACAAAGCGCGTGTCTCCATCAGAGCTTTCTCCGGAAACAGATATTGTTTGAAAAACATTCGCCTTGCGGCTGCGGTGCCTGCAGTGCACTTCGCCTTTCTGTTTGCTTAACAGGAAGGAAAATGGAACGATTCAGGTGCGGTGCCCAGGACACCTTGCCCGGAGCAACTGAGGGCTCTGTGGTCAGGCTGGAGGAGGAAGGGTGCTTGGCAGCAGGTTAGAGCTGAAGCCAGATGGAAAGAAGGGAGGTATTTGTTCTGAAGGAGGTGGACCTCCCTGGGGCCTCCCATGCCCACCTGGGCCGAGCAGACCCTCTTCTGAGGCCCCTGGCTCTGGCTCCTGCCGAGCTCCAGTCAGCAGGGGCATGGTGCCCGCAGGCCCTGGACCCAGACTCACATGTCAGGCCCAGCCAGGACCTCCCAGCCCCATCCGCTGCAGGGACCTCTGCTCTCCCCAGCCTCCGGCCCATTGCTTGGCCAAGAGTAGGCTTGTTGTCTGAATGAACGATCGTGGCTCCCTCTGACACTGCCCACAAGTCAGAGGAGAAATTAGAAGTGCTCTCGCAAGGCCTGGTGCTTCTCCAGTCTTCATCAGAAACAGCACGTGGGTTCTGGCCCTGGCAAGGCAGCTCTGCCACAGGGGCAGTGGCCCCTTCCAGAAGGGACCTGTCGTTTTGCTGCTTTTTTGTGTCGTAGTAGCCGTGTGTTTGTGGTAAGCTGTAAGGCTCTGAAAGTGTCGAAAGTGCATTTTATTGCTAAGGTTGTGCACACAGAGGTAACGCTGCTGAGGGGTGGAGCGCTGGCTAGCCTGCCGAGCAGGAACTGCCCGTGTCTGAGTAAGACAGAGCTTGCAGTGGTCTATGGGGCCTGTGCAGGTAGAGCGGCTTCCTGGGGCAGGCTCGGGAAATAAGAGGGAATTTCTGTTCCCTACCCACTACTTGGAAGCCCTGGGCCCTGGCACAGCCCCTAACTGCGGCATGGTCTTGAGGCCACGGGAAAAGCTCCGTTTCCTTGGCATCAGAACCCTTGACAGAGCCCTGAGCAGAGGTAGGGAGGATTTGAGGGTTGAGAGTGGGCGGTGCCCTGCAGAGCCCAAAGGCAAGAGAGAGGAATGCAGACAGTCAGCCTGACCCTGGCTGGTGCTGGTCAACACCCCACTCTGCGCCCCGAGGCTTGGTGCCAACACCCCACTCTGCGCCCCGAGGCTTGGTGCCAACACCCCACTCTGCGCCCCGAGGCTTGGTGCCAACACCCCACTCTGCGCCCCGAGGCTTGGTGCCAACACCCCACTCTGCGCCCCGAGGCTTGGTGCCAACACCCCACTCTGCGCCCCGAGGCTTGGTGCCAACACCCCACTCTGCGCCCTGAGGCTTGGTGCCAACACCCAAATCTGCTCACTCTGGCTCTGCCTGGACATTCCCATCTGGGCAGAGCCCCAGCCCTACCCCTCCCAGAACACAGAGCCCAGGGCAGCTGCTCTGGTGTCAGCGTTCACACACAGCCTGTGACCTTTGCCAGGTCATTTCCTCCAGGAGCCTCTGTCTCCCCATCTGTGGTGAAGCTTCTCGGTCAGTTCATGCCTGTGACACACCCCATCACTGTCATGGTTGTGTGGTCACCAACTCCAAGGCATCTGGAAACCTGCCCTGACCCACAGGGACTGCCGCAGTGGGACCCAGGCCTGTGTATGGGTGGATCTGGGAGCAGACACGTGGGTAGAAGTCACTGTCCTCTCTGCTCTTTTCTGAACTCATGAAACTCCCCAGCAAATGCAGGAGCCCCTTGGCTGGGAGGAGGGTCCTGGGCTGCCCCTTGGCCACCCTGTCCACTGAGGTTCCAGGGCTGGCCCACTGCCTACTGTGGGCTCAGCCAAGGTGGCCCTGCCACTCCTCAGCACCCCCTTCTTGCTGCCGCCTGGGGGTGGAAGAAGCAGAAGGAAGGGGGTTCCCGGGAAGTGGAATGGGGCTGGAGTCAAGGAGGATGCTGGACTGAGAGAGCCTGACGGCTACAGGTCAGGGCCCCAAGGCCAGGACAGCTGTGATCTCCCTGGACCTCACAGGCAGCCCTGAGAGGATGGAGCAGGACAGGCGTGCCCTGTGCAGATGAGGAAGCCAAGGATCAGAATGCAGATTCAGGGGCCTTCAGACTCCTGGGTCCAGCTGCCTCCTTACCATGCCACCCCAAACCATGGGACCCAAACAGAAGCCCTGCTTCCTCTCCCTCCACTCCATGTTAGCAGCAGCTCCGCCTGCATCTCTACTGGGACCACTTCCCAGCTGTCACTTCCCAATGCATGCTCTGTCCCCACTTGCCAGGACACCTGCGGCACCCCCATGCTGACCTCCAGCTCCTGGCCTTTCCCTCCAGCCTGCCCTCCTCTGTGCAGAGGGGCCAAGGGAGCCATACAAAATGCCAGTGGGATCCTGTCTCTCCTCGCCAGAATCCCCCCACACTTCCCCACCCCCAACACTCCCCAGCCCCGCCCCCTGTGCTCACTGCAGCTTGTTAGTTCTGACCTCGCCTGGGTTGTTCCTTTGTTTTCTTGCTTGGGGTGTGCACCCCATGAAGGCAGGGGCCACATCCATCCTCATGCCAACATTCTGGTGGTGGGCTTAGAATAGGCCTCAGACAACAGCCTGGGACTGCAGTGGTGGTGGTGCCCCAGTGAAGGACTCTCTTTTCCACCCCTGCTGAGGCCAGAGGATGCGTTCAGCGAAATGGCTGAGCCCTGAGCAGTGAGTCCTCCTGTGCCACACCCACACGGCGGGCTCACGGTGGTGACCACCAGCAGGTTCTGCACACTGTGTTCCCCAAAGCAGAAGCAGTCCCACCTTCCCTGACAGGGTGAGTCTTAGCCAGGGGGTCAGCTTTTCCACACAGATCTGCAGCACCTGCACACCAGCTGCAGCCCATGGCCGGCTTCCCCCAGACTGGCCTGACCACAGCATAGGCACAGCTATTAGAACATGGTAGTGTGACAGGGGTCCTGGCTGCCTGCTGGGACTCATAAAGAGAGTCTGTCTGCAGTGCCCCACCTCTGCAGCTGACCTGCTTAGAGAAGAGACTCACAGGGAAGGCAGATGAGTTCGTGTGATACTGACATGAAGTATTATGCGTGACACTTCTGTGTGTGATGAAAGGTGGCCATGAGAAGTCAGGACCAGCAATTTGTAAAGGTGACAGAAAAAACCTTTGGTTATCATTTATACTGCCCTCTGCCTTCTAAGGTCTCTGGTTTCTGATGAGCCCTTTCTTGGCCGAGAGAGCTGCAGTAGGACTGGGAGCCCCTGGGCTGATAGGGCCAGGCCGTCCTGTGTGAGGAAGGAAAGGGGCTGATGCAGGTAGGAGGGGAAGATCCTGGAGTGGGGATGAGCCTGGGGTGAGGCTGGCCTCCGCGTGAGGCACAAGATGGTCCCCACACCCCACCAGGGAAGCCACGAAGAAGGGAGCTGTGTGTCTGCAGTGGGACAACACTGATAAAGCTGCAGTCTTTGGCTTCTTGCTCTGGCTTCCTGTGAAATCTTCAGCAAAACCTTACCACACCTTAATGCCTGTGGCCTTGATTCTTCTTCTGGTAAATGCAAAAAAAAAGTATAGTATTG